AGATTTTAGAGCAGAGATGGTCCTTTTTCAAAGACACCTGTAGATGACAGTGTAATTTTCAAGTCGGTTGAACTCCTCGAATATTTATATATAGCTATCAATTTCCTTTTAGAAACTTCACAAAACCTTGATTTTTTTCAGGATTGAGTATAATTATTTTCATCAAGATAAATTTTGTGACATTCTTTAGTCCTCATTTGTTTGAGCACTTTCACTCTTGAATACTATCAGAAAAAGTAGACTAAAATAAAAGAAATACACATTTTCTGAATCGTATCGTTAAGAACACACGCACAAAGTAATCAGAGGAGCATTTTTGCGTAAATGGGCACACGACACTCGTGTTTCAGTCAGCGTTTTGAGTCTGAAATATTACATTAATTTCGTCTCACGTGACAACCCACTTCGCTACGACCATGACGTGAAAATCTAAGAAACATGAGCGAGGGGCTTTATGGTATGTTATACCTTCGCTAGGTACTTATAGCACCTACTTTTTAATTATCAAAGTACAGTCAACAGTACATCAGACTCTATATTTGTTGCAAAATCGTGTACCTATTTACTTACAACTACTCAAGATGCCAGGGTAATTGTGTTGTTGTCTGTACCTACCTAAGTACTCAGAATTATCAGTTTTGAATTATACGCCAAGCCAATAGTAAAAGTATAATTTAGGGAAGGTCATGGACAAGATAATGTCAAATGATATCATTTAACAACCAAACTTCATAATATTAATAAAGTTAATTTCCGATGTCAATGGTATTTTTTAATTTACAAAAAAATAACTTTTGTTCGGTGCGCAACGTAGCTACGTTTTTGGAGAAACAAGTAGGTAAGTCAAGTGATTCTTCAATGGCAATCGATGACTTACAAAAGGATCGCTCTTCGCCTTCAAACTTGAAAAAGCACTTTTAAGTTACTGTTCAAATTAATGTTTTAATAAGAAAATATTTGAAAGAAAAGCTTTTCTTTTTTCAACAGCTCCCGAAGACTAAAAACAGTCTTAAAAAATAACAATCGGTACAACGCTTGTTAAAACTTTCTATAAGCATTATTATGAGATAAATCTTGTTAAAATGAAAGTCTTCAACATTTACATACCTATCTGCTTTGAAAGTATAATTATTTAACTAAACAGTAAGAAAATCTACACAATCTTATTTTATTCTGAGAAAAATTTAATATGTATAGTAACATTAACCAGTGCACTTCAAACTAAAGTTAAATTATACTACTGCATAGTTAATTTATCTACTTAATGCATTTTGCAGAATAAGATTTTCATTTTGAAACCAAGAGACCTTAAATGATAGTGAATAAATAGTTGAAATAAACTGTGTGCCGGGGTGAGAAAAAGACCACCTACCTTATGAAATCCAAAAATGCGACTGAATTTTGTAAGTTGTAGGCACTTAATTACATTCTTGTTAATTAGACACTAAAATAAATATTCGCTATTATCCCTTTTTTCTTTTTTTTTTACTGTAAATTATCCTGAAATGGAGTAACCTAACCAAGTAAGTTTATTTCAGCCTATTCAGTTCTAATGTAGGGCCCACCTATTATAAGCTATCGTAGTAGTATAACTAGGTAAAAGTTTCATTGCAATCATCTGAATAGTTTGTGTCTCAAAAACCTTTGCATTTACAAAATTTTATACTTAAAGATCTTGTCTAACTCTATTTTAAAAGAGGTGAACTAGTTCTCTACTATACCAGTGAACACAGTGAGTTGAACAGCAGTATCACGTCACACACGACGCGAGTCGACTGCATAACGTTAATATTGCATCACGGTGCACAGGTGGTCCTCGATTCACGTGTAAGGAATATTTTTCTCTAGCGAATTTTGCGGGAATTCAAGAATAAGCATCAAAATTAGGAATGAGTGAATGAAAAGGTTTCGAGTATGTTATATAATTAGTTGTGGTATCAACTTTCAGTTTAATATTTTGTTACAGCCCACACGATATTTATTTATTTATATTATTCCTAATGCCTAGTACTAAAGATCCTGCTTATCTGTACTGTTACTATATATATATGAGTGAGGTCAGTATTTCGAATTACACCTGAAAATGTCACGTGCAGCGACGCGCGCTCACTGCATGAAGGATATCTCAGACTCTCTGAGACTGGAATATGTCTCAGTTTGTAAGTAAATCTGTAAATAGGTACTTATCATACCACCACTTAACATGGCGTTACCTAAGTTTTTCCTCCCGCTATATTATTTACCTATAAAGAAGTAGGCCTATGTTTTGTTTTCCAATAGGTAGGTAAAGTGTCATGGGGACTCACAATTGTCACCTCTTCAAAAATTCCTGTATCTTTGGTCACGGAGCCAGGGAATCTGATTTCAGGTCCGCACCAGCTGTTTTCTATATTAAATCGATCGCGAGGTCGTTCTCTTCAGCTAACTAGTGTAAACAGGTCAAGGCGCCCGTTTCTACGATATCCTTCGAGGAAATAAGAAAANAGGATAATTTTATTGGCTATCGCATGATATAAAATATTTGCTTATTAATGTTAAGCTACCCACGCTTTCACTTGTTTTTGAAGGAAGAGGTGAAAACTAAAAATTAAAAACTTAAATCCTCGTAATTTTGCGAGAAATGGGTCAAGCCCCAAATTTGAAGTATTTTCATCGATAAAATTGTCCATAGATTACGCCCTTAAAGTTTGATCACTACAAGCCCGGACACACTGTATATATGAGTGAGGTCAGTATTTCGAATTACACCTGAAAATGTCACGTGCAGCGACGCGCGCTCACTGCATGAAGGATATCTCAGACTCTCTGAGACTGGAATATGTCTCAGTTTGTAAGTAAATCTGTAAATAGGTACTTATCATACCACCACTTAACATGGCGTTACCTAAGTTTTTCCTCCCGCTATATTATTTACCTATAAAGAAGTAGGCCTATGTTTTGTTTTCCAATAGGTAGGTAAAGTGTCATGGGAACTCACAATTGTCACCTCTTCAAAAATTCCTGTATCTTTGGTCACGGAGCCAGGGAATCTGATTTCAGGTCCGCACCAGCTGTTTTCAGTATTAAATCGATCGCGAGGTCGTTCTCTTCAGCTAACTAGTGTAAACAGGTCAAGGCGCCCGTTTCTACGATATCCTTCGAGGAAATAAGAAAACTGCGGGATGTAGGGCGAATGTCGGCTTAAAGTTTATTGTTACAGGGTTTTACGCTCGTTTTCTTTTAGTTAAGTTCTTTTTACTGCTAATCTTTTATAGTGGAATAGGAACGAAGTTTTTGTTTTACAACTACCTTTTTATTTTGCTCAAAGTAGGATCTTTCTACTTCAAGTTTTATCTTTGTATCTTGCAAAACAATGAAGTCATGAAATCATAATTTTTAATCCAAAACTTGACGCTCATATTTTGTTAATGGATTTTGTTACAAACTTAAATCCAACTTCCGCCTTTGATGTAATCTATTCAAAGGCAAAATTAGGTGGNTGGCGGCAAATTAGGTGGTGCCGTGTAATATGGCCGGTCAAAGCACCAGCTACTGCCCTACTCGGCTGAGGGTTGAAGTCAGTGGTTCCCAAGTTCCTAAAACACCAGTTTTATTACCTAAATAACACTTATTCTCCTGGAAATGGATGACCAAAGCCTTTCAGATGAAGCGCTAGGTATGCCTACCTATTTCCCCGTATCTAAGTACTCGCTTTGATACCTGATATGTATTAAGTAGGTAACTATACCCACCCACAGACCCTCCTGATCATACTCTGGAATTTGATAGGATTCACGTGAATTATGACAAAATGATAATACTTAAGTATTCACTCGAGGAACTTCACATTACGTACCTTAATATTTACATCATGTTTAAAACTATCTCGATTGTCCTTTAAATAGTAGGTACCTACTTATTTATTTTTTAATGTTTTACTCCAATACAAGCACAGAATAATAATAAAGTAGGTAGGTACATATAGGTAGGTACCTAGTTTCGATATAACTAGTACCTACTTTATAGTAACAAGGGTTAAAATCAAAAGACAAAACATTGAGAAGCAATGGTCTTCCTGCTCATTTTGTCGCGGCAAAACCACTAACTACTAACGTTGAAATTTCACCCGTTCTACGGTCGCTTTCGATATGCATTCGATAGGTAGGTAATACAGAAAGCGTTTACCTGCTGTAAAATCATTCGAAGCGATTGTTTCTTTAGTACTTTTACGGCCATTTTAAGTGAATATGAAATTCATTTGGGTATACTAGCACATGAATAGGCAGTAGGCTGTTTTAAAATTTACCAATTTTGGCCGGTAGGAGCAGGAAACGTTTACGTAGGTTTACGTTACATAATTGGATGCAATTGTTTCTTTAGTGCTTGCTTTTACGATCATTTAGTTAGGTTACCTAACTAACGCCGCCACTGGTTAGGTACCAAGCACGGAGCAAAATGTTTTTGCTCCGTGATGGTAATGTCATCATGCATTTTATAAAGCCCACAATACATGAATTTTAAAACTCTTAGGCCCGTAACTGCTTTAAGCGGGCCCCGGCGCGGTTTCATACGAAAGGGTGCCCGCGACGGAGCACTTTGTATGAAACCGCGCCGCACAGTTACTGCCCTTATGTGTAATAAGTTGCCTGTTATTCGTTTCGCTAATGTTCGTTCGTTTCAGCTAAATGACGCCCACTGCTGGACACAGGCCTCCCCCAAGGATTTTCACAAAGACCGGTATTCGCAATGGAAGATTGTTTAGCTGTTTTGTTTATTCATTAAAAACGGGCATTAGCCTACCATTTAACTATGAAACTAAAATCTAAAATTAGCTAGCACTGTCTGTATCAATGTGCCTGTATCAATTCGCGCAGTGTAAGTGAATCCCAACCCCATTTGATATAATGAACATCAGAGAAGTGGCCCCAAAATTAAAAGTTCTGTGAACCCAGCCAAGATCTGTCAGTGTCAAATTTATCCAACATCTGTCATTAATGATACGTCAAAGTCAGTGTCAAAAAAATTGATTTGTTCAGTGTTGTTTGCAGAACATTGAAATTATGAAATTATAAAATAATTCCTCTATTTTATAGTATGAAAATATAAAGGGTATCGTTTTATTGCCAAAAACATTTCATTCACAATGGGAGACGGCCAAATTAGTCCAGGTTTGTAAATGTTTATTCATAGTGTACTGTACCTCGGATCTGGGTGTGGATAGGTAAAGTTTAACTTATTCTATGAATTTTAGATGAGTGCGAGATGCTTAAAGCCTTGTACGACTTCGAGGCGACGTTAACCAAGACCCTGAGCTTCTCTGAAGGTGAATTCTTCTTCCTTCAGCAAAATAATGCCAAGCAAAGAAACTGGTGGCATGTAGTCAATAGGAAGGGTCAAGTTGGATTTGTTCCTTCTAATTATGTTGCTTCAGTGAAGGTAAGTGTCTAGGTATATCCCAGAATATGATAGTTATAGTATAAATAGTATCCCATAAACTTAACACTTTGTAGCCTGTATAATTGTATAATTTTCTACATTTATATGTTAAATTGCTTATTAAACCGACAAACCTGTGTTAAAGCCTTAAAATACCAAGACCAGTCTGCTACGTTGCATCATTGCTATTAAAAGTACTTCCGCATCCATCACTCAATTAGAAGTATTAGGCCCAATTAGAATTGATTAAATTCGTTCTAGGTGGATCCCGAGTACTTTTTGGCATTCGTAAATGACTGCATTAAGTCTATTGGTGAGAATAGTTTGTCTGCTCAGAAGCAAGAATTGGTGTCTAGATTAAATGAGAAAAAGAAGCAGCTACAGATGTTTGTGAAACCACTGAGTAAGAAGGCACAGGCCCCCAAGCCTCCACCACGGCTGGACGACCACACTCCGCCTAATGGAGTGTCACCGTCGTTTGATTTGAGGCCTGTGGTGTCTCAGCAGCAAATAAGTGAAGAGAGAGAGTGCCAATCTCCTGTTAAATCTGTGAGCAGTGCTAAAGGTAATGCAGATTATAAATTTATTTATCAATTATTTTTATGTGTGTCCCCCCCCCCCCGTCACAAGTCCTAAGGCACCCCTTGGTACCCTCCAAGATTTTGGGGTACCGATACCGATTCGAAGATTGAAAGACAATCGCACCCCCTACCCCCCTGTATCATGACATTGACCGCAGATTTGCCATGCAGATGTGCCAGTGAGTACTAATCTGCGCGACTTGTGTCACCCCCTGATGCTTNTGTGAGCAGTGCTAAAGGTAATGCATATTATAATTTATACATCAATTCTTTTGTGTCTGTATTATTAGTTATTGGTGTTGTACCTGTGTGTATTGTAGTTAAATAAGTTTTTTGTAAAAATATGGTTGGATAATTAATATAATGTCAGTAGTTTCTACCTGCAGTTGATAATGGTGTAAAAGTGAAATAATACAATGTAACATAAACCATTTATTTTAACAGAAAATGCAGAAGTTCAGCACAAAAATGTTCCTGCTAAACTTGCAACCAAACAAGTGTCTTCCGATACTGACAATCAGGATGACAGCCAGGACAGTAGCGAGGGCAACATCAAGCCCAACGCTATCTATGAGATAGTGCAGGCAGTCCGTAAAGAGACTCAACTCAGCCATGAAATGTCCAAAGTTGCTGTGGAAACAGTACTTATTTCCTTGAGAGTAAGTTCACAATGCCTTGATTAAGTTTTTGTCATAAACTGGGATGGAATTCTTCTTTTGTGTAAAACTTAGTTAACATGCTATCACCAAGGAATTTGCTATTATGCTGATACATTCTATTTATCTACCACAGTGACAGGAAATATGCTTAAAATACTTAAGGAAAAGGGGATGTTTAATTTGCATTAGTTTGTGGTTATTATTAAATTAATTAATAATTACTTATTAATAATCTTGACATGCAATTAATTAATGTAGTGAATAAATTCCGGATTCAGCCCCCATCAAAATAGTGAATAGAATAGAATATTATTTATTTAGAACACAATAGAAGATGAATACATACATAAATGAACAAAAAAAAGTTAGTGACTAAAAGCTCTCTTATTTTAAATACTAGCGGCCGCCCGCGACTTCGTACGCGTGGATCCCGTTTCACCCCCTTAGGGGTTGAATTTTGCAAAATCCCATGTTAGTGAGCACCTACGTACTGGAGGTTTCCCATGCAAAATTTGAGACTTCTAACACTTGTAGTTTCTGAAATTTTGTGATGAGTGAGTTAATCAATCAGTGATCTTTCGCTTTTATAGACATAGATTTGCTTTGATGATATCTCTCTCATCTCACAGGAATTCCTCCCCGGTGGTGCAGCCCGGTCGATCATAGATGCGCTTCTCCGAGAAGCGAACAGCAACATCACCTGCCCCAAGAACGCCATAGATGCTGCTCCTGATGCTATGCGAATGATGACGGCACTCAACTCACTCTCCAAAGCGGCCAATGACGCTCAGCAGAGAGGCTGGGCCTTGCATGATGATGCCCATGACATACAAACTCAGCTGCTTGAACTTATTTCGGTTATGGTATGTAGCTGATGATTTGCTCATTCGTTTCAGCCGAATCACGTTCACTGCTGGACAAAGGCCTCCATCAAGCTGATGATTATCTCGTCTAAAAGACTTCTGTATGGGAAGACATTGTGCAATTCCCCCAATATGTGTGCATAATGTAGTTACAAAACAGGTTTACTATGTATTAATGCCAGGAAAGAGTTTGGAGGCCTCATAACACAAATTGCAGCATTTACTTCCTGAAGTAAAAATAAAATGTATTGATCAGATCGCATAGGGACCAAAAACCGGAAAACGTAATGTAGGCAGCTCTCACCTCGGCGGACCGACGATCTAGTTAAGGTCGCTGGAAGCGCCTAGAAACGCGCAGCATGGTTGAAACAATTGAATTATTAGACGTGTGACTGACTTTCTTCCGCTACTTCTTCTCAGCATCAGCCCATTTGTTGTCCCGAAGTTGTGGTAGGGCAAGCTATATTTGGGACGTGTATAAGTGCCCGGGAAATGACCTATGTACTGAATAAACTATTTGAATTTGACTTTAGAATGTAATATACATTATTTTTGTTCCGCAGTCAAACGCAGACATGAACATCTCGCAGCACGTGCTCAGCAGCCACCGCTACGCGTACGTGACGACGCTGGTGCAGTACTACCAGATGGAGACAAGGTGGCCACTGCGCCAGCTTTTGTTACAGGTGTGATAATATTGTAACTAATAAATTCAAGTTCACCAATGCATTACCTTGTCGCGTTGAGACCAGTGTTTCTCCATTTTCATTGCAATGGAATGCGAAAGTATGAGATAGTTTTGACTAAAGTAACCTTTTAACCTTTTTATATGCTGCTTTGTACGTCCCTGGGGATCTAGTCCAAAAATAATTTATTCTAGCTCTCTCCCTCTCCCTTTACCTATCACTCCCTTTTTTTCTTTACCTTTCTCACTCTCGTTGTTGAAGTGAAACAAATAGATCCGTAAATCGAAATAGCTGCATGATATAATTTCTCTTCTCATTCGCAGGCGTTTGGAGTAATGTGCGGATTGGAACGCACGGCCTTAGCGACTTTGGCTCTATCAGCCCTGCCAGCCGAAATAGCTCGAGATATGCGGGACAACCCTCGCGCTGTCAGTCGCCTGTCACATTCGGCGCTTCTACTCTCTATGGTCTTGTCTATGGGAGACAAACTGCCGGTCACACACTTTGGTAAGCAGCACACAACATTTGTTCTGCTGGCACTGCCGGATTCTGATCGATTACTTATTTTGTGGTGAATTGCGACCGAAATCCTGTTATGCGCAGAAAAATACAGTGTGTCACGTAAACTGAATATAGCCAACAAAAAGCATTCACAAAATTATTAAATGTACAGACGATAGCACGTAAAGCTTAACACTGTATCTCATGCAGTTTTAAGGCTTGGTATTTCTGCTAAAGTANAAAAAGACGTGCTGTCACCAAGGAATTTGCTATTTTATGCTTATACATTCTATTTATCTACCACAGTGACAGGAAATATGCTGAAAATACTTAAGGAAAAGGGGATGTTTAATTTGCATTAGTTTGTGGTTATTATTAAATTAATTACTTATTAATAATCTTGACATGTATTTAATTAATATTATAAACAAATTCTGCATTGAGCTCCAATCAAGATAGTGACTGAAAGCTCTCTTATTAAGTACTAGCTTTTGCCCGCGTCTTCACCCGCGTGAAATTTAGTTTGTTACAGATCGTCATAAATTATAGCCTAAATGTTATTCTGGGTTATAAAGAATAATACTGTAAAGTTTCATCAAAATCAGTTCAGTAGTTTTTGCGTGAAAGAGTAACAAACATCGATCTAGACCAGTGGTTCTTAACCTTTAAGTCATGAGGGACCATTTTACCAAATTCTGTCTTGTCAGGGACCACTTTTTTTTCAAAATCCTATGAAAGGGGAGGTCGATTTTTCGCCCACTGTGCGCCGTTTGCGTTGTGTTGACTAGACTCATCACGTCACGTCACTTGTTTATTACGATGTCTTCGTGGACCTCTTGGAATGCCCCCAGGGACCAACAGTGGTCCGCGGACCACCGGTTAAGAACCACTGATCTAGACATCCAAACTTTCGCATTTATAATATTAGTAAGTTTAGTTTTGCATTGATGATATCTCTCTCATCTCACTCTCAGGAATTCCTCCCTGGTGGTGCAGCCCGGTCGATCATAGATGCGCTTCTCCGAGAAGCGAACAGCAACATCACCTGCCCCAAGAACGCCATAGACGCCGCTCCTGATGCCATGCGGATGATGACGGCACTCAACTCACTCTCCAAAGCGGCCAATGACGCTCAGCAAAGAGGCTGGGCCTTGCATGATGATGCCCATGACATACAAACTCAGCTGCTTGAACTTATTTCGGTTATGGTATGTAGCTGATGATTCGTTCATTCGTTTCAGCCGAATGACGTCCACTGCTGGACAAAGGCCTCCACCAAGCTGATGATTGTCTCATCTAAAAGTATTCTGTATGGGAAGACATTGTGCAATTCCCCCAATAAATATGTGTGCATAATGCAGTTACAAAACAGGTTTACTATAAATGTCAGGAAAGAAGTTGTGTGTATTAAAGAGGACCTGTACATAATATGTTAACACTTTAACATGTTGAAAGAATTGGAGGCTTTATAACACAAAATGCAGCGTTTACTTCCTGAAATACAAATAAAATTTATTGATCAGATCAGACCAGGCTTTGTGGACATCCTTGGGGTAGACCATTATTTAGCAGTGGACTTCTTTCGATTGAAACAAATGAGCAATTAAATGTGTGAGATGAGTATTTAAAAAAAAGTATTTAAGTATGTTTATATCCGTCGTCGTAGTAGGTAGCAGGAACTCGGGAAGGCGCTGGATGCAGGCCGCTACCAACCGAGCAACATGGAAAACATTGGGGGAGGCCTATGTTCAGCAGTGTACGTCCTATGGCTGAGATGATGATATCCGTCGTCTAGTACACATAATAGCTTTGCCTAGTTTGGGACTAGAGGCGCAGTGTAAAATGTCCAAGGATATTTATTTATCATTTAGAATGTGATATACATTATTTTTGTTCCGCAGTCAAACGCAGACATGAACATCTCGCAGCACGTGCTCAGCAGCCATCGCTACGCGTACGTGACGACGCTTGTCCAGTACTACCAGATGGAGACGAGATGGCCACTGCGCCAGCTTTTGTTACAGGTGTGATAATATTGTAACTAATAAACTAATAAGTTCAACGCGTTGAGACCAGTGTTTCTCCATTTTCATTGCAATGGAATGCAAAAGTATGAGATAGAGTTTTGACCAAAGTAAGCTTTTAACCTTTTTATATGCTGCTTTGTACGTCCCTGGGGATCTAGTCCAACAAATAATTTGTTCTAGCTCTCACCCTCTCCCTTTACCTATCTACCTCTCCCTTTTTTTCTTTCCCTCTCTCACTCTCGTTGTTGAAGTGAAACAAATAGACCCGTAAATCGAAATAGCTGCATGATATAATTTCTCTTTTCATTTGCAGGCGTTTGGCGTAATGTGCGGATTGGAACGCACGGCGTTAGCCACTTTGGCTCTATCAGCCCTGCCAGCCGAAATAGCACGAGACATGCGGGATAACCCGCGCGCTGTCAGTCGCCTGTCACATTCGGCGCTTCTGCTCTCTATGGTCTTGTCTATGGGAGACAAACTGCCGGTTACACACTTTGGTAAGCAGCACACAACACTATTTTGTTCTGCCAGCACTGCCGGGTTCTGATCGATTACTTGTTTTGTGGTGAAGATATTTTAAAAGAAAATTATATGGAATTGCGACCGAAATCCTGTTAAACGCAGAAAAATACAGTGTGTCACGTAAACTGAATATAGCGAACAAAAAGCATTCACAAAATAATTAAATGTACAGACGATAGCACGTAAAACTTAACACTGTGTCTCATGCAGTTGCAATAAGTGTTATTTTGCTACAAAAACCTAGTCTGAGTGCTTTCGACTATACCAAATGCTTAGACTAGGCGCAGACCATCGATTTTTAGTTGGCCGATAGTTGTGCCCGATTTTAAATTGTATGAAGAATCGGCCAAATCAAATCGGTGTAATGTGCGCACCATAGCTGGGCACCGTTAATCAAATAGTTAACTTCGTTAATCGTTAAACCGTTAATAAAAAAATTAACTTCGTTAAACGTTAAAACGTTACATTTCGCAAGATTTAACGCAAGTTAACGTTAATCGTTAATCCGTTAACACATGATAATAAAACGAAAAAAATAATTGTATGCAAGGTACAAATAATTAAGAAAGCTTGTATCGCGCCTAGAATTTTTTCCTCTATGTTTGCGCTACAAGCTTTCGAAATTATTTGAACCTTGCATAAGTACAATTTTTTTTTTTCGTTTTAGTACAACTGCATCTCAGAATAAAAGCTTGTTTTTAAAAAAGTTTTTTAATTATTATAACTTTATTTTACACTTTTTAGTAGTATCTCAATCTCAGAGCCTTGGTTCAATTACAATACAATTTAGCACCAAACTGCTCGAAAAGACAAATCCAGCAAACCAAACTCGATAAGTTTCCACCGTTTCGTTTAGGAATTCCTATAGCCACCTCCTGACTCCATCATCAGGACCCTGGACATCATCTAGTACTAAAGTGCTCGAAAAGACAACGAACCCAAATTCGATGCGATGCCGCCGATTCATTTACGAGTTCCTATGGCCACGTCATGACTCCATCATCAAACCAGCTCAATGGTACCATAACATTGCATTGTCATCGTACCTACATGAGTAGGTATACCAAATTTCAGCTCAATCGGTTGAGGAAAACTGGTCTTAAATTCAGTTGCAAGAGTTGTCCCACACATACTAACAAGTGTCGTTAGTGACACAGTAGATAAATCAAACAGTACGGAAGCTTCATACAAACGCTCGAAATCAGACTCACGCACACAGACGCACGCTTTACACGGGCTCTAAGCGAACCTCGCAGTCCATCCGTCGCGAGTGTCGCGCGCGTTGTGTTTTCAACCGACTTCAAAAAAGGAGGAGGTTCTCAATTCGACCCGTATGTTTTTTTTTTCTATGTTTGTTACGCGATAACTCCGCCAATTATGAACCGATTTGAACAAATCTTTTTTCTGCGTATAGGTAATACCTCAAGGGTGGTCCCATTTAAATTTAATAATAGAAAAAACAACCCCTAAGGGTGGAAAATTGGGGATGAACTTTTTTATACGCAATATCTCCGCCGATTATAAATCAATTTGAACAATTATTTTTTTGTTGAATAGGTATTATCAAAAGGGTGGTTTCATGCGAATTTGAAGAAAATATTTCACCCCCAAGGGTGGAAAATTGGGGATGAACTTTTTTATACCCAATATTTTCAATTTTTAGTTTTTTTTTTTTGTGTTCACGCATTTGAAGTCGGTTTTATTTTTTTAAAAAGTTAATTATTAATAATAATTTTATTGCATGCACTGTCCGCTGTATTTTTAAAAACATGCCACGAGTGTATTGCGTAGTATACGGCTGCTTGAACTCGGCATCTTCAAAACCAGAACTTTTATTTTTTAAACTTCGTAATAATTCTGAATTGTAAAAATGATTAAATATTACTTTTTAAATAAAGTGCTTACATCTGATTTTGTAATAGTTCTTTTTAAATTACGTAATTACGCTTTTTAACAATTTATGTGTTCTATTTGATAAAGTAATTTGCTCCGCACCCTTTTGTANTATTTTCAATTTTTAGTTTTTTTTTTTTGTGTTCACGCATTTGAAGTCGGTTTTATTTTTTTAAAAAGTTAATTATTAATAATAATTTTATTGCATGCACTGTCCGCTGTATTTTTAAAAACATGCCACGAGTGTATTGCGTAGTATACGGCTGCTTGAACTCGGCATCTTCAAAACCAGAACTTTTATTTTTTAAACTTCGTAATAATTCTGAATTGTAAAAATGATTAAATATTACTTTTTAAATAAAGTGCTTACATCTGATTTTGTAATAGTTCTTTTTAAATTACGTAATTACGCTTTTTAACAATTTATGTGAATAAAGTAATTTGCTCCGCACCACGCTTTTGTACTAAGTGATGAACTGTATTTAAAATGAGGCAATAGGTATGTGAAAGTAAGTATCCGGTATTTTATTTATGAGAATAGATCTTCTAACGGCCTCTAATAGTACTTAATCAATTTATTCGATTATGTATTCGATCATTATAGAACCTAATTAACGTTTTATTTTTTGTTAACTACTTAGTCAATTAATTTATCCCATCAGGTATTTGATAATTAAAAAACCTAAATAAACGTTTTAATAAATAAGTAAGTAGGAACCCTATTAATTTTATAAAGATTAAGAGTGCCAACCCTAACACTCAGTCGAAGTGTAGGTATTTAACTCGCCGAAAGGGCTAAGTTTCCGTACTGCTTTAGCTCATATACTGTGTTAGTGATCTGGTTACAAAAACTTGTTTTGGGTTCTGGAAGTTCTGGAAGCCCGAACCACCCGAACGTACACTTGTCAGAACGCGTTTTTCAGCGTGGCTGCTGTATCTTTTTGGTAAATAGTAGGTACTGGATTAACGATTAACGGACTTAGGATAATTTAACGGAAGTTAATGAGTCCGTTAACATTTTTTAAAGTTAACTTAAAAGTTAATCCGTTAATAGAAATGTTAACTTCGTTAATTAACGATTAACGGATTAACGAGTTAATGCCCAGCTATGGTGCGCACCATACATGCCCATACTGATCAACTGCCCGACTAAACTTCGGTCGACGAAAAATCGATGGTCTGCGCCTAGGTTTAAGGCCGGGTAACAGAGAAANTTATTTTGCTACAAAAATCTAGTCTGAGTGCTTTCGACTATTCCAAATGCTTAGACTAGGTGCAGACCATCGATTTTTAGTTGGCCGATAGTTGTGCCCGATTTTAAATTGTATGAAGAATCGGCCAAATCAAATTGGTGTAATGTGCGCACTTCCATATTACATGCCGTCATGCCCAAACTGATCAACTGCCCGACTAAACTATCGGTCGACGAAAAATCGATGGTCTGCGCCTAGGTTTAAGAAGACTGTGTACCATTTCCATCATAACTCCGACTCGTCTAACAGCTCGTTAATTAACAATTTCAGAACAACTCGGAGTGGAGTTCGCTCAATTTTTGCTAGAGTTGATCGAGAATCCTCCAGAAACAGATGAGAATGAGCAAATACCAGATCTCTTCCTGACTCTACTCCTGGCCTACAACTTGCAATTTGACCAGCCTTACGACAGCCTGCTTCTAAATGCTTTGGAGACGGTCGATAATGCTAAGACCTTTTGTGAAAAGATTCTTCTTCTGCTCAATAGAGAAGGTATGTATGTTTTGGCTATAAAATAAATCGAATTATGAGCATTATATCGTTTGTAATCCGATATCGAAAATCAAGTCCATTTTTGCCATTTCCTGCAAGACTAATTAGATGGTAAGACAAGACTAGCTAGTCTTATAATAATTCCCAAAGATAGCGGAAAGCTTTCCGCCCGCGGCTTCGCGCGAGTGCACTACATTATCTACATATTTTACGGAACCCTATTTTTTCCAAAATAAAATTTAGCCTATGTTACTCGTGGATAATGTAGCTCGAATGGTGAAAGAATTTTTAAAAACGGTCCAGTAGTTTTTGAGCCTATTCATTACAACTAAACAAACAAAGTTTCCCTCTTTATAGATATTAGTGTAGATTATTTGACATGTCCTTTCCGAAGAGCACAAAATGTTTTCAAAAACCCGCAGCTCAAGATTTAGCCGCGGTGGCTTTCAATCAGCTAACTCGTAGTAATTAACAACCCCGAGTTCATTAATGACTTGTATTCAATTGAACACCGACATTCAATCAACGGGCTAGTCGCTCAATGAGGATCATTTCGATTTTTAGCTGTGAATGCAGATTTATAGGGCTAAGAAATCCTTAATACACAGTCCAAAAATTTTTGTTCTACGACAAAAATTGACGAAGTTATGGCCAAATTACTAAAAAAGTTCACTGACCGCCCGGCGCGGGGACGATGACGTCATTATATCCGATCCGAACGCTGCCGGCGTACTGCGTGGATAGAAAATATTTTTTTCTAGCCAAANACGGTCTATGTTTATTACTTAATATCTTCGTAAGTAATGGTCCGATTTGGATAATTCAAAAAGATATAATATCTTTCTTATGTCTTAAAGATTAACGTAGATACTAGTTTTATTGAATTTTCTACAACAGTACTGATCCTCATTAACTGGGCGATTCATGTACTCGACTGTGACATAATAATATTATTATACAATACTTGCCTCATTCATCCCATCAATCCATGATTCGAATTTTGGTGATATTTAAACATTTAAAATTTTAAATCGACCTACACTGAGTGAGCCTTTTGGAGACATTTTCGACTCAATTTTTAATTATGTAGCAGGAAGGCGCTGGATGCAGGTCGCTACCAACCGGCCATTGTGGAAATCATTGGGGGAGGCCTATGTTCAGCAGTGGACGTCCAATGCCTGAAATAATGATGAATCTGATTATTTGATGTATTTTCAACAGAGGACCCAGTACACATCTTCGAGCATGAACCAGCGCCGCCCCACTCGGTCCTCAAACTGGTGATCGACCTGTTCAGCCGTAAGAAAACCGCTGAGCACTTCTACACCAACGATGTGAAGGTCGCCATAGATATCATAGTTAGGCAGCTGGCTGACCTGTCTGCTGGAGATCCGGTAAGCTAATTTGTACTTTAATACTAAATAGATACAGTAGAAAGTCAATTGTTAACGCTACCATTGGATAAGAACAAAATGACATTCTACCTTCCGAATGTTGAATTTTTCAGATAGTTGTCTTCTTATTTTTTCTTACTGATAATACATGCCAGTAATTAAGTAAGTAGGTACGCACTTTCACTCAAAATATAATATGTTTAACTTTTTACTATTTACATCTTTGTGAACAATAAAATATGCCCACCCATTACCAATCATGATCAATTCTTAAAAACATGCTCGATTTTTTTTGGTACAAGAGAATTACTTTAGTCCATATTCTAATTTGTGTAGTAATGAAAAATAAATTTCCACCCTTTTCCCCAGCCAATAAGATACGCTATTCATATAACATTCAACATTTCTTCCAGCGCCGCCAACAGTACCTCAAGATTCTCCAAGGTATAATCCGCAACACAGATTACGAGGCGCATCTGCATCGTCGTCAAGACCTCCTCCGTTGCTTTGCTAGGATCTTCTGCGAAGAACATGAAGCCAGCCGGGAAGACCAGGCACTAGTCAGGGCCATCTCCAACGAGTTCCCTCAATACTTCATGGCCTAAACAACATCAATATGCCATGGAATGGCNACGGGGAAAAAATGCGTTGAATCGCATACCTACCCTGCGGGGACAGGGTAGGTTATGTGGGGCTCACCAAGTCAGAAGGACGAGGCATACCCACTAAAAAGACCCCGGTGCTCCGTCACTCGCCTAAGTGGGAGGAGACTGTGGGTTTCCGGACAAAGCCTTCTCTACCACAGCCCCTCCCGAAGGAAGTCAACCTAACCTAACCAACTGCGTATTTCTATACTGTGTAGCTGGAAATTGTGGCGGGAGCTCTTTGACGCGCTGTTTTCGGCGAAGAATTGCGCGCGCAGATTTTGACAGCGCGAAATACCTACTTTAGAAGAAATACCAAGCCTTAAGAAGACTGTGTACCATTTCCATCATAACTCCGACTCCGATTAACATTTTCAGAACAACTCGGAGTGGAGTTCGCCCAATTTCTGCTAGAGCTGATCGAGAATCCTCCAGAAACAGATGAGAATGAGCAAATACCAGATCTCTTCCTGACTCTACTCCTGGCCTACAACCTGCAGTTTGACCAGCCTTACGACAGCCTGCTTCTAAATGCTTTGGAGACGGTCGATAATGCTAAGACCTTTTGTGAGAAGATACTTCTTCTGCTCAATAGAGAAGGTATGTATGTTTTGGCTATAAAATAAATCGAATTATAAGCATTAAATCGCTTGGAATCTGGTATCGGAAATAAAGTCCGTTTTTGCCATTCCCTGCAAGACTACTAGATGGTAAGACAAGCCTATCTTTGGAAATTATTATAAAATTATTTGACATGTCCTTTCCGAAGAGCACAAAATGTTTTCAAAAACCCGCAGCTCAAGATTTAGCCGTGGTAGCTTTCAATCAGCTAACTCAATCAAAAAATCAGTATTCAATTGAACACCGACATTCAATCAACGGGCTAGTCGCTCAATTAACTGGGCGATTCATGTACTCGACTGTGACATAATTATAAACAATACTTGCTTCGTTCATCCCATTAATCCATGATACGAATTTGGGTGATATTTAAACATTTAAATCGACACTGAGTGACGTGACGTGACGTGACACCTTTGAAGACATTTTCGATTTAGTCTTTATGTAGCAGGAAGGCGCTGGATGCAGGTCGCTACCAACCGGCCATTGTGGAAATCATTGGGGGAGGCCTATGTTCAGCAGTGGACGTCCAATGCCTGAAATAATGATGAATCTGATTATTTGATGTATTTTCAACAGAGGACCCAGTACACATCTTCGAGCATGAACCAGCGCCGCCCCACTCGGTCCTCAAACTGGTGATCGACCTGTTTAGCCGTAAGAAGACCGCTGAGCACTTCTACACCAACGACGTGAAGGTCGCCATAGATATCATAGTTAGGCAGCTGGCTGACCTGTCTGCTGGAGATCCGGTAAGCTAATTTGTACTTTATTGTAAGTAGATGTAGTAGAAAGTCAGTTGTTAGAGTCCCCAGTGGTTAGGAGCTGTTGACATTGTACCTTGTGAATGAATTACTTAGAGCAGGGCTCCTCAAACTTATTTTTACTGTGACGCCCTTGGGAAGAATTTGTCATTTTTAGAGTAAATTATTTTGACAGTTGTTTTCTTTTTCTTACTGGCAGTAGACGTCGAGGCCGACTTAAATAAATAATTCTTGCACATTCACTCAAAATATCAGTATTTTTATTTTAAGCATAAAGCCCATTCTTGAGTATTCGTGAACAATACAATATGCCCAACAAATCACAGTCAATAATTCTTAACACCTGGATTTTTATCGTAAAGATATAATTAATTATGGTTAGTCAACGGTGTAATTTGTTTCTTTGCAGCCTGCTATTTGTATAATGTATAGTGATAAAAAATACTTCGTCTCCGCCTTTATCAATAAGACACACTATTCATATATCCAACATTCTTTTCAGCGCCGCCAACAGTACCTCAAGATTCTCCAAGGTATAATCCGCAACACAGATTACGAGGCGCATCTGCATCGTCGTCAAGACCTCCTCCGTTGCTTCGCTAGGATCTTCTGCGAAGAACATGAAGCCAGCCGGGAAGACCAGGCCTTAGTCAGGGCCATTTCCAACGAGTTCCCTCAATACTTCATGGCCTAAACAACATCAATATGCCACGGAATGGCAGAGGATGTAGCTAGAAGAAAGGTAAGGGCAGCCCTACGGCTACCGGATTAAAAGAACGCACCTAGTTAGGTGGTACGGTTCTATGTATGCGTGTTATATGTGGGTGTTGTTATTGTGTGAAATATGTGTTGGATGGACTATGCAGAAGAAAAGCCTTGGTTACACTGGGGGAGAAATGCAATGACTTTTTTGCTCCCACCCACACTCTTACGAATGAATAGGTATTTACTGAGTGAGCAACTTGCTCCGTAATAGATCTATCTCATCTTCATTTAACAGTTAAGAATGATCTAACACAGACTCAGTTAAAAACAATAAGCAAAAATATGGATTGACTAAACAAGAATGTCACACACTCTCTTAGAGCAGGACAAGACTAATCCCGCCTCTCGTTCCCATCGGTATAAGTCCTATAATGGCGTTGTGTATCATATTTGACCCCAGTGTGTCCGAGGCTTTAAAGTTGACTGTATTATGGCTGTTAACTTTTTGGATGACGTCATATTGTTATTCCTAAAGAGCCTTACTGAAGCAGTAACGTTCGCACAGTGTAAACATTGTAGTTTTTAATTTGTGTGGGTCAATTTACGGAGTATAATTTTGATGTTATGTCTTGTATTAAAGAATGTTTTCTCATACGCCTGAATCAATATGTATGTGATGGTTTGATACTAGTTTGAAAAAAAGATGGTTACGATCATGACAAAAAACTTTACAAATCTCTATTTTCACTCAATAATATTATATTAATTCTCCATTGACGATCTCAAATTCTACGTATCTTTAAATCGATTAAAATTATATGAATTAATATATCTAAAATCTTTTAGATTCGAATTACAAATGTTATTATGTCTAGTAGTATTAAGTAATCGCACAGTGTCTTATTTGCGTGCATAATGGTCGAAAATCGTAATCTATTTCGTATAAAATATTATTAAAATTTATTTATATTCACAGTTTCCAATATTTGCACAAAATGGCAGCTTTATAACTACTTAGTGCATTCCCGGTGCATTTGATATTATTTTATTACGTTCCTACAATATTAATATTGTGCCATTCTTACCAAAGAGTACCTAATTGCGTTCGTAGAAATTGCCTGTTGCAGTTGTCGATTCGAATCCAACTGGGAGCAAATGCTAGTGTATTCACACCCAGTATCATGAACGTATATGTGTATATTACTATGATCTATTTAATTATGTTTATTCATCATCTAGTCCCTATCGCAAAATATTTGGTGTGATAGTCGAAGACCTTTATTATTATAATAATACTCCATATCCATGAACTTAGACAGTCAATTACACATGCTTTAAAGAAATATCCATTTCGTACATTTTTATCTAATTTTTAGTATTATGTCTAAGACTATTCATATAATTTGCAAAAATTCGGCCTAACAAAATTCTGCCATTTTTTGGATTATTGCATTTAAAATTTACATTGTCAAAACAGAGCCTAAACTTAATTATTAATCTATTAATATAAGTAATTACTGCATGAATATTCGCATTTATGAATTACTTACATAAACAGATCCATATTTTTGCAAAATTAGATTAGCTTGATTCGATTTGAATTCTCCTACATTAAAATATTTACTGTGTAGTATGTAACGGGATACCGTTACATTTGAAAACACAAATCTTTCGTCAATATCGTACTAATCTATTTGTAATTTTAAAATCAGTCATAGACAAAACACGATCGACTTTTAGTAGTTATTTGTCAAACTAACATAACTGTGGCGCATCGAGGCATTTTCATGTGATTTGAAAAAAAAAGTATAGAATTATTCACGGAAGATTTCTGTTGTTTCTCCCCGTTAATAGTTTATTCCAGTGTTAAAATTGTTTTACTGTCGACCAATTCCTCAGGGTGTACGTAATTTCGGAGCTAATGAATTAAAAATACTTACTTCTTCGTCTTTCAAATATGTGCTATTTACTGTATTGATAAAATATTTTGAAATTGTAAAAATACGTGGATTTTGTGTCCACTTTATGTAAATGTGTGACAGTTAAAATGTACTTAAAATCAAATTAAAGTTAGATATATTTAAGTCAGTTAAAAATTTAATCATTTGAGTTCATGTCTTATAAAATCAAATTACCTATATCTGTTTTTGATCTTTGAATATATTTTCTAAAGGTGCTCAAATTGAAGCCAAATTTTTGTAGGTTTTGATCTTTGTGATATTATGTAATTGTTGCGTCTTCAATGTTTTAAATATGAGTGCTCTGAGTACTAAGTTCAGTGTGACTAAATCCCAACTAATATTATAAATGCGAAAGTAACTCTGTCTGTCTATCTGTCTGTCTGTTACGCTTTCCCGCTTAAACCTCGCAACCGATTTTGATGAAATTTGGCATAGAGATAGTTTGAGTCCCGGGAAAGAACATAGGATAGTTTTTATCCCGGTTTTTGAAATAGGGACGCGCGCGATAAAGTTTTTCTGTGACAGACAAAATTCCACGCGGGCGAAGCCGCGGGCGGAAAGCTAGTAAGGTATATTGATGAAATAATGTATTAAGAACTACTATCATGAAATTAATATGATAAATGTCGTTAAATCTTAACGTCATCGAATGCCTATACTTTCGTCATGTTCTGCTTCTGAACTAGTTTCATATAATTATAAATAAGTAGCTTTTTTGCGCAAACCATTTATGAACTTACTTAGCGACTGTTAGATAATGGTTGTCTAATAAAACGTGAATAAAGTGTTCTTCGACATACACATTCTTATTATTTCATAAAATCATAATAGGAATTCTAAATGTCTAAATCTTTTATTTAAGAGTTAAAAGGGTTTGTAGAGTCTTTTATAACTCATTTCCACAAAGTTATTTTGTTATATCGTGAACAGGACAAAATAAAACAACGCATTATTATTACAAGTATTTTAATGTACCATATGAATGCCGTATAAATATTTCAAAATGTAAAACAGTGATAAAATTCATACTAACCAATATATAACTGCAGTCAACTCAACTCGAAATCATATTTCATTGATACTTACAGTACCTAAATATTCGAAATAATTATAATTTGAAATACTTGAAGATCAACCGTATTAATTATTATACACTTGCAACTTATTCGTATAATCGAAAACAACCTATGTATATTGTTACAATAATAAGCAGGTACCGTATTAAATCTCTTAGTGCGTTAAATAAATGTCTATAGGTCTGACTGTTGAAATGTTATTAGAAAATAGTGATCCACAAAAAGTGCGTAACAAAATGTCAGAAAGGGGGGAGTCTATAATAATATAAAAAGTTGGCCCCGATATTTCGAAGGGATCCGCAAAGTCTGGAATAGTTAAAACTTGTAAATACACTCTGCAAAAACATTGCAAACCGGGTTTTATCAAAATGTTCTATGCAGTCTTAGCACGGATTGTATATTTTCAAAAAGAATGTTCGACACATTTGAATGCTTCTTTGGAATGCAATTTTACAAAAATTTTCGTTATTTATATTTAAATCTAATAGAAAATTTACTCAACTCTACACAAGGAAAGAATATGTAGGTACCCCTTGTATAAAATTAAATACCTTGAGCATTATCCTAAATGTAATTATTGATAAACATGCTAAATGTATGTATGTAATACACAGTAATAATTGATTATAACAAACAATGACCACTTTACATCGATTTTGGCAACTGGATGAACACTTTCTTAACCACAATCACCNTAATCACCTAAGTTTAAGTCATATGCAAAGTATCTAAACGGACATCTTAGTGAAAAATGGTTATATTCGGTTTCAAAGATTTAAAGGTTTACGTTCAAAAATGCCTGTGTGTTCAAGGGTACGAATGGTTGGCCAATATTCACCTATTCGGTACGATTACATTACTTATTACTGACCATTAAATATTATAATTAAATGTAAGTTCATCTACAACTTGATCACATTCTACATCTATCGAACACTCGCACGTTACATTAATTAGATTAAAAATTATATACAAGTTACATCTAAAATACCTTAACACTAAATCCTACGAGCTGATACCAAAATTCGATATATCTAATGTATTTATTTGTATGGCCTCATAAATATTCGTTTGAATATGACTGTGTGGGAAATGAAATCATTTCTCCAGGTCTTGTCTCACACGTCAACTCCATACGTAACTTACTTAGGGACAAATGTCTGATCTAACGCTAAATCTAATGATTAATTTACCACAGAACAGCGAGTACAATGGAGTTGAAATGGAAAATATTTAGGTATAATATGTAGATATATTTCTGTAAACATATTCCGCTTCGAACACAAACATAAAACTGACTCTCGTCTTCAAATAATACTGAAGTTCATGAAATTCCAGCTAATAACATCTCATTTAATATACATATTTAATCATTATTGAAAAAAAACTACGTTTCAAATGTATAATTCAGTCGAATAAATTTTGACTAAATACTGGTTTTTCCAATCTGTGTATGGCTCTTGGAATGATCTTATCCTTTATCTATTCATTCGTTCAGAAAAGAAAGAAGTTTGAGAGGACAGATTGTCAAAACCAGCGTAAGACGGAATAATATTTAACTTTTATTAAATTGGAACAACGCACAACCGCAGAACAATATAATATTATACATTCACTACATAAAATTTGTGTAACACAAAGTTAACAAATTGAGCTAAACAATATAACTTTACTGTCAATACATTATTTTAATTTCATTTAATATAATTGAGTTTAATCTGAATTAACATTGTTCCGCGTAAAATCATTCTATGCAGACATTCGATTACTTTCTTACCTTCTCCTAAAAGAAACTTGGAAGATCCGAATTTATGCTTATATTTGCTAACTTACTTGTAATCATGGTGTCATCCAAACTTTATATTGTAAGCATAAAATCGAATATTAAAATGTAGAAAACTGGAGATAAAATGCCGCATCTTAAACTGGCCACTGTGATGGGTAGAAAAACTAAATGCATTCGAATTATTTCTCATTAATTATACAAAACTCTACAAAATGTTTCAAAGGTACGTTTTCTCATCATACTAAATGATAATGAGATGAATGGCATTGAAAAAAACTAAAGACAAATTGCAGACAATTTGTTTCGTAAACATTTCGTAATGGGTTCAGATTTCGCAAATCAAAAATATTAGGGCAACCACATACTAACGCTTGTCAGGTGCGCAAGGTACAGATGACAAATCGAATAACGCGTACCTGGCACGTCTGGCAAAAGTATAGTGGGCCGTAAGATAAGCCCAGTTTCCACGAAAGCGGAGAGAAGATGACGCGTTTAAATAGCCAATCACCTTTCGCTCAGCGTTTGTTCGGGAATTTGATTGGATGTTCACACCTCTCTTCTCCGCTTTAGTGAAAACCGGGTTTTAATGGCAAGCGACAGGCAGTTTATCTCCTAGCTGGGATGGCGCTTAGCTGGGGTGCTGCGCCGCGACCTTGCGCAGGCGGTAGCCGCCGGTGCCGCGGACGGTGTACAGCACCACGATGGCCACGGCCACGATGCTCATGCCGATGGCGTTGACCACGATCGACTCGTCCGTCAGCGTCGCGTACGCGTCAGCCCTGCGCACCGCATGCCCCGGGTTAGTACAAAATACATGTTGAAGTGAGTATAGGCTAGAGCATTTACTTGTAACAGAACAACGAGCCTATGAAATGTCTAGGGTTAAAACCTTGTCACGAACCAAACGGCATTCACTTTACCTATATTGCCATTCGCAAGAAATGCACTAGTCTATACTCACCTTTAGATCTACTCTGAGAAATTGTTTGTCGTACTCAGTCGTCGTTGAGTGGAGTTTTAGGGTTCCGTAGTCCTGACAAGGAACCCTTATAGTTTTGAAGTTAAAGTTAGGTATAAGTATAGGTAAGTACTTCATCAACAGCCCTTTACAGTCCACTGCTGGACTATGAGCCTCCTCCACTATGGTGGAGGGATTTGCCATAATCTCCACGCTTGGCAGGCGGGTTGGAGATCGCAGTTTAAAAGATTGATGTTTTTCAGAGAGCCCATTCTCTGTTTGTTGTGTAGTCCCTAAGTCGCCTCTTACGACACCCGCGGGAAGAGTAGGGGTTGGTGACAAATGTATTCTACTCTGCCGTCACCACACGGCGAAGTAAGTACTTACAACCATGGAATGACGGAAAAGATACACCTTGCTTCCTTACCACAAAATGCCGACAATCTATCTATGCAAATGCGTCGTTGGTGTATTAGAATGTTTGTTAATAATTTGTTATATATTTATCCATTGGTAGTAGGTATGACATGTGCCCATTTTTTTTACCGAATAAGAGGAAAAATAAGTAAGTTGAAAAACAAAGTAAGTGTTCCTCTTGTGGCTTCATTCGTGTCATCAGAGCCATAGAATATGAAAGTGACAGAATCGTCATTAATATTCATAAGGGTTAGGACGAGCATAAGTGTGATACATGCTTTGTTTTGTAGGTGGTTAAGCAGATGTACGCATTGTTCAGTAATTTTTTATTTGGGAAATGTAGTCTTGGATCCGATTACGATCCCGTGTAGTGTGGCTATTTGCACCAGTAGGGAAAAATCTATAAGTGAATCCATGTTGTGCTAATCGTATGTGCCTTGAGTTCGAACTACGCTCTTGCTATAGCAATAATTTATGGCGTTAATTTCATACAGGGTGTTTTATTTGAAAGATGGTATAAGGTGTAGGTACGAGTATTTCGGCATAGTGTGGTATGGTTTAATATTGTTTGTAAGGGAAGAAGCATAAAATCAATTCGTACATTTTTTTCATATAAAATAAATTAAGTAATTTGGGATAGTGCCTATGAATTATAATATTTTTTCTTAAATTATCATGCACCTTAAAAGTAAATAATTATGTAGGTATATTAAGCATGCAAACATTACAAGGCCCAAAGCGATAAAAATATAGGTATTTGTGCAGTGAAAAACATGCAATGATAGAACTTTGAAATAAGATGTATTTACAATTTTCACCTTCAAGAAAAAATCGGAATATGTATAAATATTTATTTTTAATTTAACAATTACTTAACTAAATTCGAATTTTAGTTAACAATAATAATCTTAATATATTTCTATATAAAGTAAATGTTGATCTGATACAGACCATTTATACTAAATCGAAGGAGCCTCGTCTCCACTAAACGATAGATTACTTTAAAAATATGTATAAGATAAACTCAGATCTAATATATGCAGGAAATCGTTCATTCAGCTCAGTCAACAAATTGTACTTAGAATTCAACAAACATGTTAAAAGTACGTACTAGTTACTTACCTATCTTACATTTGTATAATTAACTACATACCTATTAATGAATTTAATACCAGTCACGGAAGGCACATCGTATGTATAAAAATGCTGAAGATGATTAGGTACTACTTATTTTTTTGTATAGGTATTTGTGTAAATCCATCAATTTTCTATTTTTATATTAAAAAAAACCTACTTTGATCTGAGACAAATTCAAAGGCACTATCTACTTAGCGGATCTCCGCTTTATTTACTCTCTACAAGTCCACCGACGCCCTTATGTGGCTGTCTCGAGTCTCCGCCGCCCGAAACTTGTTCCTCGACAAGATATACATGACCACAGCCAGGATCGCGATCATGGCCACTCCGATGGTGTTCACGATGACCGCCTCGTCCACCAATGTGCTGTACCGATCCGCGCTGTGGATATGGACATACATAGAAGCAACAAACACGACAGCCATGGAGAAACATGCTATGGATGTGCACTATGCAACGATCACAAACTACTTGGTACGGTTGGAGAAGCCCATGTGAAATTTAAATCGACGGACGCCAAAAGAGTATCTTGCAAATACCTACTTAGTTAGGTATTGCAATTTTATTATTTGTTGTTGTAATTGCTGCAGCATTTTTGAGATACAACCTGTCCTAGCCCGCTGACAGATAGCCAAACAGTGCAGGCATAATAATGTTTTTGAGTCCCCTTAGCACCCTGTGGGTTCATATCCAAAAAAATCGTTTTTAAAATAAGCCCATTAATTTTTAGGAGGCTAATTAAGTGACAGCAGTCAGTTATTGTTCAAGGAGATAATTAACTGCACGGAGTAAAAAGCAATTGACGTGACGGTGCAATCTCCCATCAAATGCGATACCATAATATGAGGCGTGTGTCACTTCTCGGAGAAACTTAGCGAAAATAATGATGGCATTCCAGTAAATAGAGTGGGAAAGTAAGTGGGTTCTACAATCGTACCAACAGAAGATGCAAACGTGACAGAAGCTAACAGTGCCAAAACTAAACATAAAATTAAAAAGTACTAAATAGGTACTAATTTATTGGTGCATGTTCAGGTCAATGAATTGCATTAGGTTCCAAGGAAGTCTATGAATTTGAATTCTTTCATTATTTCCACAATTATATTGAACTGAAACTGATCTGTTTCTTGTGAGAAGATTTAGATTCACCAAAGAATACCCATTTCATGTCGTGCGCATGGACTGATCAGCTTAATTATTTCTGTGATAAGCTTTGGATCAAACCTTAAATCGGTCAAACGGAAACTAAGTGCTAATTAAACAACCGAAACGTGCACCAATTAAATCAGAGAAGATCACAAATTCTGCAAGTCCTACATACCCAATGCTGAAGAGCGCCTTCTCAGTCAAACCAGTCAGGCAAGCGGCGACGCCAAGAACGAAGGTCAGGATACCGAATGCGGCGTGGACGGGGACCAGGGAGGCGCGGAACCCGGCGGTGCCCTTGTTGCAGATGAGCAGGAGAAGGAAGCTGAAGAAGCCCACAGCGTACTGGAATCACATGAAATACAAATTAGATATGAGTAGAATACCCCCACTCTTTCCGTGGATTTCGTAAGAGGCGTTTATAAGTACGCCTCTTAAACTTAATCTTATCTCTCCCTTATGGGAGAAATATACGAACAGGTCTCCCCAACCCATTTGACCAGGGTGGGGAGTGTAGGCTAAATCCTCCATTTGTTGTTTTGGTCAATTGAAGAGAGATTACTAGTAGAGTATTACGGCAGTGTACAGTAGACTTAGTAAACGATCAGACGATGAGATACGTTTAAATTGGCAAATCCTGAATGGGTTGACGTGGGGCTGTCAGTCGTTGCATTTTGATATGAGGAAAGAGTAGGTGGTAGTGGTGAGTAAACATGATCAAACCATTAGGTATTGAATACAATGACAGGACGACCAGGACGAACATAACAATCAACAAATTAATTAAGATCCTGATAGGTTACTTTAATAAATTGGAACCATCTAGCTAGTCTGGTAAACAAGTTTAACATAGGAATGACTACCTAACATACCTTACATCAATAAATTCCAGTCCTAAAAATAGGTGCGCGTATCTAAAACGATTTCGTCTAAATTTACTTTTGCGTAAACAAGCAATTAGCTTACAAAACCTCAGGTTCTATTTTCAACGTTGCGAGACACAAAAAGCTACGCCTTTAGCACAATGTCACCTTTTATAACAGGCTGCATAATTTAACGCCTTTGTTACGAAATTTGCATAGTGGTAAATTTTGCATAAAACATGTGTTAACAATGAAATAATTAGGCGTCTTTTTTAGAAGACGTTCCGCTAATATATCGTACATCCTGTAGTTAATGATTACCTCGAAACTAAATGAATTTACTCGTATTTATCTCTTAAAACCAGCTCCAAACAAGGGCAAGGAAGATTAATTTGTGTGTAAAGAAATTCTGCTTATCTACATAATACTTACACGAGTAAGTACATCGATACTGCAACTTATTTATAAATATTTCTTTGTCCAGTCAGCTACTCCTAGACATACCTACACAATCTTACAAGAAGGCGAAGCTTCCGGGCGCCCTCCTCTCACGGGTCAATTTTTTATCTCTACACAGTGTATAAAACAATATCGCTCTATTTGTTTAATCTTTTAAACTTCCTACGCATTGGTATTGATGCCGTTTTTATCATACAAGAAGAAAGAGTTATTCTAAAGGAATATTTAGATGTGTAATACCCGGTTATACTCGTGCGAAACGGTAACGAGCTACCCTGGTACATCCTGCGCACCTCACTGGAATGCGACTCACCCGCATGATACCCGCGTTCGCCCTGTTCGTACCAAAGCGTCGATGTGACGTAACAACCGCTAGGTGCGCACTTAACCCGACCGGATTGTATAGATTCCTTTTCCAACACCCACCTGTATTCCAAACAGTCCCATAGCCACGAGGCCGATCCAGCTGTGCAGGGAGTAGAAGTTGTTGATGCCAGACTTGTTGTGGTAGTCGAACACGGCCAGGAACCCAATGACGATGCACGGGAACGCCAGCGCGTGAAAGATGGCGTGGAGCAGCTTCACGTAGATGCGCCTGAAGCACCGGCAGATGCGGTACAGCAGCACCGCTGGAAATGATAATAGAGATCGGTCAATGTAAATTGCGATGTTATGCACTATTCTAGTGGAATATTGATATTCAGAAAAGATTCTTTAATTGCCACCGTGCGTTATTTAAGAAACTGATAATATTGATGATGTCCTAAAATCAAATGAAATGATTTTACAATTTGTATGTGTTAAAGATGTCTCCAACTGCAATGAAAGGAAAGGTAAAATAAATAATAATAAATAAATATCATTGGACATTAGGTAATTTACACTGTGTCGCTAGCCCCAAACTAAGCAAAGCTTGTACTATGGGTACTAGACAACGGATATAAACATACTTAAATACTTTTTTTGTAAATACATACATATTATACATAGAAAACACCCAGACCCGTCACAGAAATTAAAATTCATCATTCCAATTTCTGCCCGGCCGAGAATCGAACCCGGGACCTCTCGGCATAGTAGTCCGTTCTGAACCACTACACCAAACGGGCGACCAGTTAAGATCGAAAAGGTAAGTATTTCAGTTTCTATACGGAATAACAAAATAAGCGTGGTTTGTTTGTTGTAGCACAAACGAACGCCTTAATTTAATTATGTTATTTATCAGGTAAAACTTTATGAAGCTACATAAAATTCAACGTTAAATTTTAATGAAGGTAAAATTTACAGGAGCCAGAGAACCTTATAAAGGCAGCGTTTAATTTAAAGTAGGAGGTAACTTCGTCTAAAGTCTTGAAGTAAGTGCGCCTTTTGCGTTGTTTAAGATTATGTGCAATAATTTTAATTAAATAAATAACTTACAGAAGCCGCTGAAGGTGATGAACCCGGCGACCATGAGAGTGGGATGCAGGTTGAACTGCTTGGCCGGGCTGCCGTCAGCCCAGGCGTACCCATCGCGGTAGTAGAACACCCAGAAGATGGTCAGCGCGGAAACTCCAATGAGGAGGATGGTGGCGAGCGTGATGACGAGCGCGTATTCACACCACTCGCACGCGCCCCTCTCATGCTCGTCCGATTCGTACGAGCGGGTGCGCTGGCTGGAAAGAAAAAATAAATTTAATAATAACATTAGAAAGAAAGAAAAAGGTTTGGTTGACTAGGGCTGATTTTTCAATAGTCAGATATCTTTTAACTGAAGAATAAGCTTGTCATTTTGACATATTTCCCATACTGAAACTGTCAATGTGCCAAACTTATTCTTCAGTTAAAAGTTATCCGACGATTGAAAAATCGGCCCTAAAGAGAAAACTTTTTTATTTGAAACATTTCATTGACAAATGGTCTCAACTTGCAACTCAAGTGAAAACCAAGATCGTTTGGCGCCTACCTGATAGATGGCGCTACTAGTTTTATGACATGAGTGAGGTATGTGAGATTTTCAATGAGGGTTTTCGCGATTGAAAAATCCGCCAGATGGCAATACGTAGACGGGAGGTCCAAATGCTGTATGATTGGTGGATTTTGACATATCTGTCAATGTCATGTCAAAAATAACCAATCATGCAGCATTTGGACCTCGCGTCTACGTATTTATTGCCATCTGGCGGATTTTTCAATCGCAAACACCCTCATTCAGAAAATTTTTGATCTAAAGTTCAACTCATTGCACATAATGTTTATTTTCCAAGCTCTACCATAGGCATAGGTTTGTATTTATAGAAAACAAAAATATTATTTTGTAAACTTATCCTCCTAAGATTCACGTTTTACCTACAACATATTATAATAATAATATTTAAAAATACGAATCTAATATGCGACGTAGAAAAGTAACATGCACCGTTCCATGACGCGTTCCCCTCCGGATGTCTCAATGATGCGCTACACGACACCCTATATGATGCTATGCATGAGAAACGTATGATCCTTTCATTCTGTAACTATAGCATCCACCCGTGACATGGTCAGCGATTCCAGTTGCGAGGAGACTGTAAAGTACTGTAAGTATGATAATTTATAATTCCGCTCTCTACAATGCAGATGTTATCAAAAATAGGCAAACATATATTATTTAGAGCAACTTTGTATTTTTTTTTTGCTATCACACCGTTTATTTTAGGGTAATTTATTACATTATAAACCAAACTAATGGCGACACATATTGTGTGACAATTACAAAGCATTTTTTCTAAAGTTTACGTAAGACCTGAAATTTTTCAGGTCGCGTATTTACCCGTATGTTAAAATCAATTTAATATCAAGAAGTGTTAAGTTTAAACTAGTACAACAACCTGTCTCAAGCCGAGAAACAAAAGGCAAACCTATTAACGTACCGACATAGACAAAGAACATCCTGTAACTACCGTAACTCGGGTTACGTATCTCGCATGTGAACAGGCGTGAGTAGGTAGGTATAACATCCCAGATAAGTTTACATCGTATAAATGGAGGCTGCGGTTGCCTCCCTCGTAGGTAAGTAGGGTTACCTTTACCGTGTTCTTACCGTTTTTAGATAGGGTTGGGCGGTGGCATGAGAGTTGTTTCCGCTTAATACAAAAAACCGGTCAAACGACGGATGCAGTAGCTAGAGCTACTTGCTTAGTTTTATTTCAGGTTTGATACAAAACTTCGTCGGGAAAGAAGCCAATTCAAATTCAAATTGTGTTTATTGTGAAATCACAGGTACATAAGTCAGGTCATTAAATTTGTAGATAGATCAGCTGTGTTCCGCCGCATGGGCATACAATAATGGTAAGATACAATTGATAGGTAGTAAAAATCTATGACACAATAAATGATACAATTCAAATACAATTCAATTATTAATAATTATAAGTTAATTAAGTCATACAGAAAATGTCAGCAGAATACAATATTATGTCAGTCGGAGAGAAAAAAAAACCATTTCATTAATAAATACTTAGGTACTCAAATTGTCACACAAATCATTATAAATTGTCAGAAAGATATTCATTTACAGAGTAGTAACCTTTTTTTAACAAAAGGTCCTTTAGCTTAGCTTTAAATACAAGTATACATGTAGTTTCAATTATATCTTTTGGTAGATGGTTGTAGGTATATTCGAGGCGCCATACAGAAAACGCTCTGATTGAAAAGTGCTGATTTATTATGTACCTAATATGCTCTACACACCTCTAGGAGAACGAATCATGTTAGGTATTGTTGTACTGTCAAACTGTTTCTAAAATTTCCTGCTTTTCGTGCTTGATGGTTGCCCTACTTGTAAATCCTATACATATTTAGCTCTATTCAGAGTCGGTCGAGCTATCTGGCTCGGGTGAGCCCGAGTAACGAACGCTTTTTAATCCAATTGGAGTCAATTAAAGATCTCATTCATTTCGTAATCCAATCCTGGTTGGCTTTATGAAATATAGCTTTCCGCCCGCGGCTTCGCCCGCGTGGAATTTTGTCTGTCACAGAAAAACTTTATCGCGCGCGTCCCTGTTTCAAAAACCGGGATAAAAACTATCCTATGTTCTTTCCCGGGACTCAAACTATCTCTATGCCAAATTTCATCAAAATCGGTTGCGAGGTTTAAGCGGGAAAGCGTAACAGACAGACAGACAGACAGACAGACAGACAGACAGACAGAGTTACTTTCGCATTTATAATATTAGTTGGGATGGTCACGGTATTGAGCGTTCAATTGTTATTCTTCGTTCGTCATGTTAATTTATTCTGAGGATGGCTTTGGCTATTGTACGAGTAACTTAATATTTTGTTACTTTTTGAGAATATCAAATAAGTTGGGGTAAAAAAGCTATACAGATATATAGGAAAGTACAATTTACAGTCAGATGTGTGTTGTTCTACCTATCACCTTATTCATCATCTAGATAAGTACCAGCATAAACAATACTATAATTTGGATGCAATATCGTAGGCCTATTAAAGCTATTATCAAGTTGCCATGGTGTTTAGCTTGATAAGTCGTCCGCATGAATGTGATGAAACAGATACGAAATTCCCTTGACATTGTTTCAATAAGGACACCACTTCACTGATACATTATTATCTTTACGAATATTAAAAAGCGAAAGTTTGTGTAAATGGAAATAAGCTTAGCTGCGAAGTGTAGCTACGAAGAAGTCGCGGGTAAAGTTAATAGTGCTTTGCCCCAGTGGGTTCAAATTTGACACAAATGCAAGCAGAAGTGATAAACAGTCGGGTGGCATACAATGTCAATAATGCGTCGTGTCGTGGTGAAAGGCAAATGCGCCAAGTGAATTTCTATCACGGCGATGGCAATAACCACATAACGATGTCACGGAGCATCGGGTCATTGCGTTTTGACACGTCTTTCTAAGCACAGTCGACAGCTTTTCAAGTTACCGCCAAATGACAGACTTCCTATTTAATAAACTCATGCACCCCCAGTCTGGCCCGTGTAGGTCAAATCCACCATTTATCTGGTAAATTAGAGAAGGCAGTGTTTGAAATTACGTGCATACAAAGGTAATATCGTTGTGTGAATTCCTGTAGATAGTTAAGTTTGACTATACACTGCAATTGACCCTACTCCCTAAACTATTGCAATATGAGCGAGGTGCATACAGTACCCCTAATTTCGCAACGGAATGTCCGCAACGCTGGCAACGGCAATCTGCCTGCAATTTGGCGCGGGATCCGACCTCGCTCGTGATAGGTCGCCGAGAAAGCGCGGTAGCACCTGCGCGCGCGACGTTACACATTACGCGCGTAGATCTCTATCTGAATCTGTGCTTTAGATGTCACAGTGCTCTTCTTGCCAAGGTTGTTTTCAATTTATAGCATTCTTTTAGTAATTGAGAGCACGAGAGTATCTATTTTAGTACTTATTACATATAAGATTTTAAACTTTCGCGTTCCATTTCAACTAAAATAGTAAGACACGGGTCTTAACGCGACATTTATAAAGCATCAAGCATTACTGCTTGTGACCACGGCTGCAGCATAACAGCCGAAACGTCAAGCCGTGAGTACATAATGTACTTACCTAACTCATTATAAATGTCGCGTTAAGACCCGTGTCTTACTATTTTATTTACTTACTAGCGGCCGCCCGCGACTTCGTACGCGTGGATCCCGTTTTACCCCCTTCATCTATCTTACGCGGTTTAGATTTTTTCATACAAATGTTTTTACCCGCTAACTCCCGTTCCTGTGGGAATTTTGCAATATCCTGTTGTAACTAAGCTTTAAGTTTACTAAGGTACCTGCATGCCAAATTTCAAGCGTCTAACTTAAACGGTTTAGATTTTTCATACAAAAGGATTTTCCTGCTAATTCCTGTTCCCGTGGGAATTCCTAAGTATCCTATAACCTGCCCAGGAGTATGAAAAATAATTGTACCAAGTTTCGTTAAAATCCGTCGAGTAGTTTCTGTTTCTATAAGGAACATACAGACAGACAGACAGACAGACAGACAGACAAAAATTTTACTGATTGCATTTTTGGCATCAGTATCGATCACTAATCACCCCCTGATAGTTATTTTGAAAATATATTTCATGTACAGAATTGACCTCTCTACAGATTTATTATAAGTATAGATTATATATCTAATGTCCGTATTCACAAACGATGCTTGCTTAAGTGAAGCAGCAAATCGAACGCAAAGCGTTGAATAGAGCTCTGTGATTGGTTCGTGTGATCGTGTGTCACCCCGTGCGTCCACGCGCACTGTAAGACTTCATAGTAATGTTTGTGAATACGGGCGTAAGTATGGAAGTCAGGACTCCGTCTCTGTGTCTCTTACATTCCGAGCTAGTCTCTCTATCTATCTATCTAATATAACCTTAGTTCTTCTAAACCCGACGATAAAAGAAATAATTAACTTTTAAAAAAAATAAAACCGACTTCAAATGCGTGAACACAAAAAAAAACTAAAAATTAAAAATATTGCGTATAAAAAAGTTCATCCCCAATTTTCCACCCTTGGGGGTTGTTTTTTCTATTATTAAATTTAAATGGGACCACCCTTGAGGTATTACCTATACGCCGAAAAAAGATTTGTTCAAATCGGTTCATAATTGGCGGAGTTATCGCGTAACAAACATAGAAAAAAAAAACATACGGGTCGAATTGAGAACCTCCT